GAAACTACTATGTTATTCTAGGGATTAGGGTTTAGGGTTGGGGGGTCAGGGGGACTTAGTAAGTAGGTTAATAATGGGGATAAATTATGGGTTACTATATGGGTTATAGGGGTATTAACCCACTTCCTAAGTCTCCCTGACCCTCCAAGTAGGGTAGAGTAGGGCAAGATGGAGTAGGGTGGTTACAAAACCATTGCTAGTTGCGACACGCGAATGGAGGAATGGAACATGAAAAATGGAGGATACTATATACTCTAAGTGGAGCATATGCGGTCTCATACAGGGATCCAGCCTAGGGAAGTGATGGTGGGATCGGGGGGTCCACCCAGGGCGACGTGCAAGCTTACGGATCCGTACCCGAGTACAGCCCAAGGGGGCCACTATGGCCTGTTACACCCCCAAATGCCCTGTTATGACCCTTTGAAACATAGATCAAGGGGCTTTAGGACCCTTTCAAGGGTAGACTAACGGGGTTCTAATGTCTAATCGCCCATCCTGGCCTTTTCTGTCAAGGTTTGGATCCTTAGCCCTCGTCTATAGATCCCACACCTTGTTGGCAGCTGTCCCACCCTGATTCCCCCCCCTAAAACGCCAGAGCTGTAGAGCTCAAATGTCCATAGCGTTTCCAGTTCCAAAGTAACGGGATCCTCACTCCATGGACCACGAAGAGAAGTGAACTCTGGAGCTCGACTACACACATGCTTTCTTGCGCAGACATGAACAAATGCATGATGAAACAAGTTCATATGCATGTGTGTATATATGTAGAGGTCTATGCACGACGTCTGTATCAATTTAGACATCCAATCCCTAAGCCCAACGAGAAGGGAACCCCAAATTGGGTAGTTTCCCAAAATAAGGGGACCCCAATATGAAACCCTCCAAATACTACAGTCCTTCTTTCGGGGACTCCCAAAATGGTACCCCTAATTTGGGACACCCCCATTTTGAAGCATGCTCACCTCCGCATGGCCACGAAGAAACCGCCGAAGCACTGTTGCTTCAACAGCGTCGTGGAGGGGAAGTCCATGGCTGAAGCATTCCACTGCGTCCACAGACCTGAAGAGTAGGGGGACTTGGTCAGTAGGTTAATAATGGGGATAAATGGGCTTACCATATAAGATATAGGGGATAGTTACTAAGTCCTCTGACCCTCCAAGTAGCACCTAACCTACAAGTGGAGAAGGCAGGGAAGGAATGGGCCATGAGGACATTTGAAGGGGACTGTAGATCCCTGAGTAACCACCAGTAACAGAATAGCTCTGGAAGGATCGAAAAATGGTGTCGTTTTTCTGATCATTCTCGGGGGATCTTTTTATGATTGCCGGCTTTCGGGTGGTTCGGTTTTGTTTGGACATCCCAAAAGCTTAAAGTAAGTTCTGTTTGAAGACTTGAGGCCCGAACTAAGTGTTATTGATGGACTAGGAGTTTCAGGGTTTTGTTTCTGTATGCCAAGAGGATTGCAGTAGCACTCCTAGCTTGCCGCTCGCAACTGCTATCATGATGAACGATATCAAAGTCATGAGTAAACTAATCTAAGCCATAAACCCTAGGCCGAGCTCTACAACTTTAAACCCGTCTCAAAATCTCAAACCCCAAATTCCAAAATTCCTACAGTAAACCTGAAGTCGCTGAACACAATAGCCCAAACCCAAATCCCGGAATTCCTAAACCCTTGATTCAAAAACACAACCACCTATTCTGCTGACGACTGCCCAGCGGCGACGGTGAGATGGCTGCTTGCTTGCAGGTTGCAATGACCTAGGTCAGGTTTAGGGACTCAGGGGGTGAAGGCTTGGTGCTACAGGCCTAGTGGTTGGGGCTTAGGGTTTAGTGTGTAGCGTTTGGTGATCAAGGTGTAGGGTTTAGAGTTTAGGATTCAGCGTTCAGGATTTAGAGGTTGAGAGTTTCGAGGTTTAGGGCGGTTCAGTGTTGAGGGCCTGTTGGTATTCTCGGAAAAATGAAGATTCCTGGTCGGGGCTTATATAAGATGATTTTGAGAAGTGCCTACATGAGAACTTCGGGCTGAAGTCATCAAATGATTCATGCACATATGTGAGTTCCTTGCAATCCAGCAGAGTTATGCGGTCGGTTTGTATGGAGCTTGTGCAATCATGAAAGGCGTACATCAACAAAGATTGGAGGCCCAGGAAAGTGAACCGTAAACCCTCAACCCTAAAGCTTACCAGGCTGGGCTATTAGACCTTGAAAGCCCCTCATTCTACCCTCATAAACTTTGGAACAAGGAGTTTTGGGGGCCTATGGCCTTCTCCACATGTAAGGTCCCCAAGTTTGGAAAGTCCGCATTTTCAGGTTGTCCAATCAAGTTTGGGGTACTCCATCTCGACTACAGAGAGTCTCTCTTCCATTTCTGGCACATCCAGTGAGATCCACCTCTAGCGAGACCCAATTGAATCATGCCTGCGTCACGCGTTCTTGCTGGACTCTCGCTACTACAGCTGCTACAACAAGATCACTAGTATTAAGAGCGCGAGCATGGACTCCATCTCCGTTCTTGACTATGACTCTCACCATGATGCTAACACTACGACCAGCTTGAGTACTACGACAAACCCTCCTTCTCCTCCTGCTCGGCAGCAGCGGCGGGAGCAGCAGCGGCATCAGCAGCGGCAGCACCAGCAACACCCCCGCCGCCGTCGCTGCTGTGACCACCGCCACCGCCACCGCCAACGCCGAAGCCACCGCCCACGCCCCCACCACCACCACACCACCACCACCCCCGCCGCCGCCGCCACCGAGGCGTCACCGAGCACTGCCACCGCCACCGCCACCGCAACCGCAACCGCCGCCGCGTCGCCGCCGCGTCACCGCCCTCACCACCACCACCACCAGCATCACCACCACAACAACCCTAAACCCCAGCAGGCCCTGCACTCTACCCTGTACGCTGAGTCCTAGACCCTTGACCGAAAACCCTTAACCAACGTCTTGGTCCAGTCGCTAACTCGCCCTCCTGCGCGCCGTTGGGCGCCGTGAGTGAGGCGCTCCGGCCGGTGTGGTTCGACTTCAGGGAGACACAGAGAGTAAACAATATCTATGCAAGGAATATGCCTTAAATTGTTCCCAAAGCTAATGCTGCGTGAGAAATATCCTTGAAATTTGGTAAATCTCCTTGAGTATGGACTCTGAGCTCCTTAAAGATGCTGAAGACAAGGTCTATTGGGTTCATAGCGGTGTCTTAGGAGTTTAAAGTCGTGGTAAGGATCTATGCGAGGTTACAGGAGATACTGGGCATTGGGGGTGTGATGGGAAGGGTCAGTTATGACAACGAAGCAAAGTCTGAGGATTAACGCCTGGAAGCCCAAGTGGCCCAAAATAGTAGGCTACAAATCTCTCCAGCCCGAAAGCCCCCTTAACCCTAAACCCTAAACCAAACATGTGGAACATTTACCCGAAATCATAGCTTACTCGCGGTCAGGGTAGGGTTTCGGGGTGCGAGGCTTAGGATGTTATGGGTCTGTCGTTTCGCGTTTGAGGGTTCAGGGCTATCTAGGGAATTCAAAGGACCTATGTACGAGTCATGGTGATTCGCTCTTGAAAAAACCTTTGGAAACTTTCTGTTGTTAGAAGGGAATGGAGGCATAGATCCCTAAAGTAGCCCCTATATATTCAAGAATGTAATCATTTGCATGTTTTTCTTCATCCCTTCATTCCCTACAAACAACCAGTATACAAAGCATACTCAGAAAGCACTCCAGGCACGTGCGTGGCGGCAATGATTCCGTTCACCTCGGGCTCCCCCTCTTTGGGATCATCGCGAAGCAGCTCGAGCACAAGGTTGGAAATGCCCTCGCTCTTTGCCTAGGCGGCTGCAGTAGGTCTTGGGGAATACTGCCCGGCTTTATGTTCGGGACCTAGCTGCAGACGTGTCGAAACCCTGTGAGCCATAGTCTAAACTCCTTGTATCCCGCTTAATAACCCCCATAAGCCCGTTCAGGGAGTGGCTCTTCCCAAGAAGCGGCCCATGCAGTGTGCATCCTGATTGTGAACTTACAAGCCGTGTGTTCGACCGTGCATCTGCTTTTGGGAGCCCGAGTGCGATAATCGTAGAACCTTTCCTGCAATATATCTGTGGTGACCCGTATCTGTGAATACAAGGCGAGAAGCGTTTCCGCCTCAGACACGGGTGCTGGCAAGGGCCCAATGCGTTAGAAGGTCTTTCATCTTGCTGCTTGCTTCCAATTTCGGAATAACCCCTAGCACCCTGAACCCTACTTCCTGAAACGCGGCAGTGTGATTTCTTGGGACTACTGCTGCGTGGCTCCAACACTTCAAGCCAAGCCTGACTGCAACAGATCCGTAAATAGGACCATAGGGAGCCTTCTTCAAACTTAACCAAAAAATGGACCCCCCCCCAAAATGGCTCCAGTACTACATTGGGGAAGTTAGGGGATTATTATGGGGTTCCATTTTTTGGATCCTGTAGGGGGCCTGGGAAAAGCAGCCTGGGCACATATCCTTCCGCTGACTGATCGAAGGAAAAACAACGCCCCTGGGGCGACAGGTGGCCTTTGGCACTCAGAAGGATGAATGACGTGCCAGTAATCATCAAGTACCTTGGCAGTGAAGGTTGAAGGCGTAATGGTTTGGGGTGTAGGGGTTTAGGAGTTCAGGGTTTAGGGTTTAGACTGACAAGTTAGCAATATGGGGCTTCCCATGATTACTGATACCTTTTGGGGGCCCCAGAATCAGGATTACAAGATTTTGGTGTCAATATTGGGTTCCCCCAATTCGGGAAATTACCGTATCTCTCCTCCATAATCTGTATTCCCAAGCCCTTTTCTAGTCAAATAGGCTCTGCGCTGGGGTGGGTAAGGTCGTGAAGCCTTGCGAGACATCCGCAGCTGTGAAATTCCAAGTTCAGTGTTGAGAGCCTAGACTTCGTGATTTGCAGGGCTTGTCACTCAAACATGTAGGGGACATGAAACGCCTGTGGGGCATAGTAGCCAGAATTGAGAATCACCGAGCAGCTACCTAAATTATTAGTAAACAGCTAAGTAAAAAATCACTTTGGGGGGCCTATCACTTTACAGGGTTGTTGCACACTGCTGTCGTCCATTTCGAGGGTATCGCTTTTGGGGGGGGGTCCTATCGCTCGCTTTACTAGGGTTTTGCTCATGTCCCTGAATTCTGCCTACTCTTGGCTCCTACACGATAATAAAAGCAGTTGACATGAAGAATAGACTGGCAACGGGGTTGGGCCTGAAGATATACATCAAGTGCCTGGCAAACTCCCATTTTGTTGCTGCCGCGACAACACAAGACTCCTGTCCACTGTTGGCTCCTTGAACATTGCTCTGGGCTCCTGTGCAATGCCCTCAGAAAGCCTAATTACTGAAAAGCAGCTCTTATGCAAAGTGAACAATGCTTGTTCGGCCTTTGGAACCTAGAAAGGGTCTTTATGAAACCAATTAAGGAACATATCTAAGTATCCCAAAGGCCAACCTAGAATACTAAGTGCATGCAGTCAAGCCAAGCAGAGCAAGAGGCAAAGCACCTTCAACTCATCTCCTGGACCTGTTTGACTGCAAGAACTTTCCAGTTTCCCAGAAACTAACCTGGGGTTCCATAAGTAAGGGGCCCCAATGTAGACCTCAATATACTACAACCCTTATCACAGCCAATGGGGAGCCCCACGTTCTGGCACCCCCCCATGCAGTATAGGGTTTAGGATGTAGGGCTTAGGGTTTTGGGTTTAAGGTGGCTCGCGTCAAATCTTGGTTGCTTCCCACTTACTCATGAACCGCCTCGATATCTCTACCTGCCTGCGCAGCCAGCTTTTCCGTGCCCAGGGCTCATTTTAAGTATGCAGGTAGAACCTGAAGCCAATGCCCCAATGGCACAACCAGAAACCCAAAATACCATGCACAACGCCCTAAACCCGGCCAAAGCTCTAAATCCAGAAAATCCTGTTTCTACAAAGCGAGTAAAATGGAACATAAGGACCCTGCTAGGTATACATAATCTGGAATTAATACCTTCAAGCCCTAAGGGCTAGCCCGTCTCAATAGTAACTACAATTCAAGGTAGGCTCGTTTGAGCTATCATTTGCCCGGCTTTAAAAGCAAAAGGAGGTGCGCGCCACCAACCAGAGCTGCCGTGTTGGGCTTGTAGTGTTCTGTCTGGAACCTGTGCCAAGGGGGATTACAGGGCCGGGGGCTCTGAACCCTCAACCCTAAACCCCAATAGCACTAACCCTACACCCCAACAACCCTAACCCTAAACCCTAAACCTCAATAACCCTAGTATAAATAGCCTGTAGGGATTTAGCATGTGGGCGCGCAGGGCTGAAAGTTTGGGTTCAGGCTTTAGGTAAAGCAACGTGTTTATGCGCTTCTGAGTTTCTAGGGTGTTGCGGGTTCTCCTGGCTTTAATGTTTAGGCCTTGGGAGCTTCATCTGAAGAATGAAGCATGGACCTGTGTGCATTTCCACACTCAAGGCTTCTGACAGACCTAAGGGGACACTAGGCGCTTCCCCAGCACTCACTCACTACCCCGAAGTAAACCCTCAACTCTAAACCAAACCCTAACCCTAAACGCTAAACCCTAACCCCGAAGCCCAAGAGTGCTAAGACTGGAGTTGGAGTCTGTAACTCTGAGCCCAACAGAACATGCGCAGTCACCCCCCTGGTATAAAGCACGGCCAGCCAACTCAAATTAAATGTTCCATAATGTTCCCAATACATTATAGTTTTCCGCAGTGCGAATATCTAATAGTAAGGGAGGAAGGCTTCGAATATTCGGGGAGAAGGGCCTATCTCTGAAAGTTGGGGCCCAACTGAGCCCCCTAAACAGTCGCTCTTACGGCAAGAACCCCAGAAAAGGGATCACACACCCAAGAGGAATGAACCCCAAAACCCCAACACCCCCGGACAGCCCTAAGCTACACCAAGCCCCCTAATCCCTCCACCCTAAATTCCCCCCTCCAAACTCCTGAAACCCCTAACCCCTAAACCCCTAGGGTCCCCAAAGCTTGAACACCAAATCCTAAACCATACTTTTTGTGGATTCAAGTCTTTTCCATTCCCCCGTATACCCCATATCCCTATCCCCTGCCATATAATCCCGTCAAAGGGGACCTATATATCCCAAAAACATCCCTATAGGCTTGAACACTTTTCACGCGCCTCAGGCTCATGGACCCCTGCCTTGGGGCTCACTGCCGGGCTTTGCAGCAGGGTTTAGGGTTCAGGGTTCAGCGCTTAGGGTTCAGGGCTTAGGGATTCAGAGGCTTAGGGCTTGGGGGTTTGGGCTTACGGTTTGGGACTTAAGTAAGGTTCAGGGCTTTGGGTTTGGATTTCGGGTTCTGGCTTGAGGGCTTGGGGTTGGGATTTCGGGAATCCAAGGGCTTGGACTTTTATGCTTCAGCATGCTCAGGAAAAGTAGGATTGACTATTGGTTCTGAGGTTCTCGCAGATTAGGCTTAAGGGTTGAGCCTCTCAAAGCCCGGGGGTATGGTCAGAGTTCCCAGAAATCTATGGGGATTGGGGTTTAGGTTGCAAAGGGGTGAGGGAAGTTTCAAGGAAGTTTCTACAAACGAGTTTAAAGGTTGTTTTGAGAAACGACGCGGGGAGGGGGGGAGGGAGGCTGTCAAGATTCACGCAAGACATGCTGTGCCGAAGCGCGATTATGAAGCACTAAAATCCGGCATTTAGACAACTGCCTACCGCTTGAGGTTGTGCTGCTTGCTCCTTTGGTCCTGAAACCTCGCTAAACCACGAAAGCAAGGGATCATCAAGTGCATGCACTTACTGGTTCTTAATAGGGAGGATGGGACAAATTCTAGGATTTAGGGCTTAGGGTTAGTAGGGAATAAGGGAATAGAATCCCTGTATAATCCCTCTGTGATGTATTCCCTTTTTTCTGCTCAGCCCCAGCAAGTTCAAGAGGCTACCGCAAATTGGAGGCTTCTCATGGACACCACTCAGCAACCCAAAGCCTCATCAAGCTTCCCTTAAGCAGTTGTTTGCGCTCCACATGAGAGATAGTCTAAACTCCTTTAAGGGGTGTTATAGAGGCGCATATAAGGGAGTATTATAAGGGTAATTAAGATGTTTTTTCCCGAAATGGTTATTCCTGGAAAGATGGAGCAAGCCTGTCGGCCCCGCGGAGACACCAAACAATATCCGAGCAAAGAGGGATGAGTGGATGGAACCCACAAACTCAATGCTCTGGACTCTCAAATCTACAACCCAAAGCTCTAGACCTTTCATAATCCTGACTGAAGACACTATATCATTTCAGGCATGGCACTATGGCACTTCCTATCCGCACTCCGGAACTTCAGGACATTAAACACGTCTACCTGCAGAATCCCTAGGGAGTCTATAGGATCGCTTTAACACCAAGCTTCGTGAGGGCTGCCAGGGACGAAGCCCCCTGGGCATCCATGGTGAAGCTGGGACCTGCAGGACGCTTGCAAAGGTAAAGGGAGAAGTGCTGGAGACTTTGTGGTCTGCTTTGGGAACTTGGGGCTTCAGGGATGAAGGTTGAGAAATTAAGGTTTGGGCTTGAGGGATAAGGGTGCAAGTAACTAAGTCCCTTGAATTCTAAGCCCCTACCCTAGCCCTAAACCCCAAGACCCTAACTCAAGCTGTAAGCTGTAAACCCTAAATCTCAAGAAGCCTTGCAGTCCCAGGCAGAAGGAGATGCGGTTCGAGGTGATACTGCTGGCGCCACCGGTTCCTGCACGGCACGTCCCGTAGGGGAAGTACAATATCAGGAGAAGACGGAGAGGGAGAGGGGAAGGGGGAGGGAGAGGTACGTACGCGTGTACGTATGTGTGTACGTACATGCGCAATGCATGCATGCAATGTATGTATGTATGTATGTATGTATGTATGTATGTATGTATGTATGTATGTGTGTGTATGTACGTTCATATGTACATAGAGAGAGGGACATTTAAGGGTATCTCGGAGTACACAGGAGTATGCCAGTGTATCCACGAATATATATATATACAGTATATGTATATGTATATACGTACAAGTAGCTAGTCAATGGTTCAGGGTTTTGGGGTTCACAGCTTTGGACTCCAATGTTTGTTGCTCAGGGTTTGTTTGGCAGTTGGTTCGCTTGGTTTGGGGTTTTGGCTTTGGGCTCTAGGCACTGGTGCTTAGTAGGGAATGCGAGCATATAATGCCTGTATAGTCCCTATACCATATATTCCCTTATTCCCTACTAACCCTTAGTAGGTCTAAGTGTTTCAGATAGGAGTCGGGGATCTTGGAAATGGGATTGAAGCTTAAGGGCTAGGTTGCCAAGTAACCCCTTAATAATGAGGGTACCCTTCTTCCTCATGTTCAGCCTGAATAAGGAGACCCCAAAAGAAAAGGGGGATGAAGAGTACTACTGCTGGGGTACTTAGAGGGCTCCGGGCTCAAGATTTCCAAGGCTCTTCAGGAAGGAGTTCCTTGGCAATTACCCCAAGCTCTAAACCCTAAATCCCTAAACCCAAAACCTCAAACCTCTAAACCCGTAAACCCAAAACCTCTAAACCCTAAACCCCTAAACCGCGTGGCACTCTTGTGGATTGCACACAACATGTGGGCCCATTCAGCTTTCAGAGTAAACATAAATCATCTTCGGCCTGTTAAATGGGAGGTTGCCAACAATTAGGGGTACCATGTGGTGGGGTCCCCAGAATAAGGATCAGTATATGTTGGGGTCTATGTTGGGGTCCCACCGTTTCCGGAAACTGCTATACTGCCACCGTGCATCGCAGTTTGTTGCATTGTCAGAAGGGTTCTGATTATCTCTCTTTGGCTGGTTCTCATAGTGCTGACGGTGCCCCCCGCTCCCATTCACAAAACAACTCACCGACTTTACCACTATTGATCCTAGCAGGGTTACATCATTTTGGTGAATATGATGGTTTCCCAAAATTAGGGGTACCTGTTGGGGGCTCCCCATACGGCATTTTGGGGCCAATTTTGGGTACCCCGGGTTGATGCAAACTACGTACCATAAACCTTGAAACCTAAAACCTAAACACCGTACCAAGGTGCCTGAGCTAAGTGCCGTGGCCGGCATCAGATTCATCTCTGTTGCCGCAGCGCCGATGTAGACACCCAGCAGGGACCTGGACACCCAAGCTCCAAGTAAAGGGGTATACAGATGCGTAGGGTTTAGCTTAGATGCCTTTAAAAGAGGTATGTAGGAATATCTAGGGTTCGGAGATACAGGAGGATCAAATGAGGAAGAACATGAAAAATGTAATAGAAGAGTTTAGAGTTTGACGTCCTGGGGTTGAGGGTATACAAACGTTCTCTTGACAGAGGGACTATGCCGGCGGACAACCCTCCTTCCTTTATAGGCCTGGATGCACCTAGGCAGGGTTGATGATCGTCCTTGTTGGGTACAGCCCTTTCAACTGAGGCTGTATTGAGTGTCTGGGAGCAGATGTGGCTCTCGCATGCTTGGAAAGCACTAGTTACTAGGTTTATCCTGTGTAGGTTCTTGCCCGCTAACGTCAGCCATGATACTTCCATCAGATCCACGAAACGTAGCGCTGGAAGTCTAGCTTGAAGCTGTTCACTACTTGTACTGGGTTCTGCATATCCTTCAGCCCTTGATGTAGGGGCCTTCTACTTGAACCTGGGTTTTTGGGCATGTTCCATTACAGTGGACAAATCATTCAAAGGGGAGAGCTTGGAATTTCTTCAAGCTTCTGCATGAAGGCGTAACAGCTGGATCGACCGTGGTTTCCAGACTGCTTTTCTTCCAAAACAACCCAACCCCACACATCTCTGAGCTTGTGTGGAAAGGAAAACCTTGAAGATATTACCTGAACCTACAGCCGCATGACAGGCGTTGAATCACAGGCATCCCCCTTAATAACACCTACAGTAGTCCCCTATATAATCGCCGATTTAACCCCCTAAACCCTGAACCCGAAACCCTATATAAATCCCCTATGCAACCTCCTTTTAAAAGGAATTTAGACTATAGCACATATGGTTTTCAAGAGGAGCCTTCTTCTGCTAAGCCTTTCTACTAATTTCGACCCCACAGTCTATTGATAGGGTTTAGTGTTTACCGTTTTAGGGTACGCTTGATAATGAGCAAACACAGTTGCTCCTAGCAGCTTTGATAATTCGGAACCCACGCAGGTCTCATCAACGTGAACAGCTCCCAAAGTGTGATCCGGCCTGTACCTGCACGAAACTAGTGAAAGCCTCTGGGCCTTATGTTTTAAATCACCTCCCCACCCCTCCCAGCCCAAACACACACAAACAATATTCCCTGTATTTTCCGTGTATTCTGTCACTGCACTGGGATCATGTGAGCCTTTGTCTAAACTCCTAGTATCCCCCTTAATAACCCCTATAGTAGTCCCCTATATAATTCCCTATATAACCCCCTTTAAGGAGTTTAGACTATGGTGTTGAAACTTGGGGGAGATCATTACCACACACGGCCCCAACTAAACCCTAAAGGACCCCACCTCATGAGGCTCTTCTTGCTGTAGCCGCTGAAGTACAGCGCCTCATAGGAAGTCTCCAGGATGTGTCTCTGTGCCTCAGCTGTCCACATATGAATTGTAGTCTAAACTCCTGAAAGGCTGATTATATAGGGGTTCATACAGGGGACCATTACAGGGCTTATTAATGGGGATACGAGGAGTGTAGACCATAGCTCATATATTGCAAGATAATGAAAATGCATTCTCAATTGCGTTGGGTCTCCCTTAGAAACACAACGTACCACAATGCTCGTGTATAGGCTTGAGTCAGAATCCATTCTGTATTTGAAGTGTCGCTCTTTCTTGGTGTCCAGTCTCTTTAGACAGTAGCGAGCATATCCGACAGGGCTTATTTGGGAGGTGTTGCTTTTCAAGGTGTCCTGTCGTTTCAAAGGTATGTATGTATATGATATATATATGTACATATATTTGTTTGTTTGTATTTTGAGCTTCCATGACTCATCCTTACCAAAATTTGCGATATGCACGAGTGTTCATGTATCCCTCTATAATCCCTTCAACTCTTGAAGCCTCAAACTCAACCCTAAACCTAAATAGCATTAGTCTCCATTTCCTTATTATTCTAATGTTGGATCCGATTTTGCCTTGAGGTCCGAGCGGAGTCTTTAATGTGTTTCGGGGCCCGCTCAGTACCATGGGCAATGATGCGAGGTCTGCTTCAATGAGTTTTGATTTAGGGGCCCTAAAAATGTAGGAAAGATTCTCAACTCTCCCTTTTACATCAATCCACAGGGACCCCAGAAAGCTGAGGGCCCTAATTGAGGGAACGGAATTCTTGTTTTTGAGGGCCCTATCGTTAGGGAGGGGGACCCCCCAGATTAAAGCAGGCCAAACTCTGAACAAAAAACGGATTTTAGTTTGCATGTTCTTCTCCATTATTGACTTACTAACTATGCCGTAGACCTTGAACCCCGGAAACCTCCCTCCGAAACCGAGGCGAGGTGCCGGGTCCATCCCTCTGGACTCTACAGGTGAGATGTTGAAGAAGCCTGGGCGCTTGGGGTTTATGGATTTGAGGGTTCAGAGGTTTAGTAACTTAGGGTTTTAAGGTTTATGGATTCCAGGGTTTGGGGCTTTGGGGTTTAGGGTTTAGGGCTTACAGCAGGGATCGTGCAGATCCTAAGCCCTAAACCTAAGCCGTTGGTGAGGCCTGGGATTTTGGGGTGGTAGGCTGGAGGCTTTGGTAAGTTGCGGGCTCAATTTAAGCGGCCAAAGCTGGGCGCCCACGGTTCATAAAAGAGCAAAAAACAGCTCCAATGCCAAGGTGAGGCTGCGTACCCTACCTGTTGATGAGCCTTCTCGCTTTCACAGGAAAGCTTTACATTTGAAGCCCTGCGTAAACACTAAACCCTAAACCATAAACCCTGAACCCCTTTACATTTGAAGCCCTGCGTAAACCCTAAACCCTAAACCCCTTTACATTTTTAAGCCCTGTGTAAATACCACAGCAGAAGCTCTGCTCAGAGCAGATCAAGAGACGGTTGTCGAACATCTCAATGCCATCGATGAAGGAGCCATGCCTTGGCTGAATGCCACTTAGGGTTTAGGGCTTAGGGCTTAGGGCTTAGGGTTTAGGGTTTATGGGTTTAGGGGTTAATTAGGGCTTAAGGTGTAGGGTTTAGGGCTTAGGTTTTAGGGTGTAGGGTTCAGGGCTTAGGGTTTAGGGCTTAGGGTCTAGGGGTTGAGGGCTTAGGGATTATGGTTAGGGGCTTCTCAGAGGCTGGGGGCCTACTCGTGTAGGGGAAGGATGATCACCCTTAAAGGCTTCAGAGTTTTTTCAACAGGGAAAGCATCCTGTCTTTGGAAGGATGCATTGTGAGAGAGAGAGAGAGAGAGAGGGATAGATAAATAGATAGATAGATAAATTTATGAATGCATAAATTGATACAAAAATGAGTGTATATATATGTGAGGATATATATATATATAGACAAGTAAGCTTATGTTCTACCATCTCTCCCCATCATCACTACCGCCACCATCATTTCCACCCGGGTTGGGCGTAGGTCTGTGTCGTTTGGCGTTGCGCTCTAGGGTTAGGCGTTTTCAGGCTAGGGCTGGGGGATGGGTTGACGGATAAGGGTTGGGGCTCGACAAGCAGGGGTTCAGGTTAGGCTTCAGGGGTAACTGTTAAGCTGAGGGTGAGGAGGTGTTGGGTTTAGGGCTGCGGATTTTTCAGGCGTTGGGTTTAAGGCTCTAGTTTCCCTTGCAAGTCAGCATATGGAATTGCCCAACATCATGGTAAGATCCTCATATACCCCATATTCTATCTACTTCAGAGGGACCATAAAGAGGATACTGGAGAAAAAAGACGTCGCAGGCCACGCGTCCTCACAACAAAGGGTTTTGACCATGCTAATAGATTACTATGCATATGACTACTGCTGCTACTGCTGCTGCTACTGCTGCTGCTGCTGCTGCTGCTGCTGCTACAACTGCTGTTTCTGCCCTACCACAGATGCTACTACTCCTTGTGCTAGTACATCCGCCAGCAGGACAGCCCCAATGAACACTCTCACCTCCGTTGCCGCTATTCTTGCTACTCTGGGGTAGGGCCCTTTCGAAGCGACATGTTTTGGAAAGGACCAGGCACCGACAGTTTGTTGCGCCCCACTTCCAGCTTTCTGGATCTTTGTTGAAAAAGTCGGTGTGATCCCAGCGAGAAAACGGCACCTGTCTCAGATTTAGGGTTTCCAGTCTAGGGGACTGAGGGTTTGGAATCTAAAGGCCGGCATTTACAAGGGTGTGGAGCGACACTCAAAGCAAAATGGAGGACAGAATCCCAGAACCCCATTACTAAATCCTAAACCCTACATAACCCCATTATAGTATAGTAGTTTCCGTTTTCTTTTCCATTATCCCTACAATAACCCGTGGCCCTATACGATTTTGAGAGGGAGTGCCCTTTAGATTTCGGGGTTCCCTTCCCTCATTGGAGTCATAGTCTACACTCCTAGTATCCGTTCATAACCCCTACAATAGTCACCTAGTAGATAATCCTCTATATAAGCCCCAGAAGGAGTTTAGACTATAGCTCACTCCATACTGAGTATCAGCGGTTTAGGGTTCAGGGTTGGCCCTCAGCAGGCGACGCTTGGTAATCTTTGTACAAACCCATAACATACATATCCAGTCAAAGATTTGCTGCAAGCTGCACGGAAATCCAGCTCCCGGCGAAGCGATAAAAACCACTCATTTTGTTCAGTTCTTATGAACGGGAACATATTCTCCTAATGCGGGCATCTAGTCCTTCAAATGCTTGCTCTGACCTCTGCATCTCAAGCCGTAAACCTCGAGCCCCTTTTCTCTTAAACCCGAACCCCTGACCTCTACAACGAGGTCGCAGCCAGCTTGCATGCCACACCAGTAGCCGGCCTGGGAAAGCCATCTAAGGTGCTTTCCGGATTGCGCAGCTTCTAAGGGCTGGGAGGGCTTCAGAGAATTCAGGTTGTTGCTGTAATGGCTCCATTCGAGGCTAACGAAATTCAGCAATAGTTGTGCCAAGCATTCTGGCACAAAGTTAGCAGATATCCCCTGCCCCCCCCCTTGTACTTTCCTGGTCAGAACTCCAAAAGATTGCAGCAAAACAACGAAGCCAACAAGCACCCTGCATCAACCCCTAAACCCCAAACCCTATATCTCCCCTTAAGCCCTAAAGCCCCCTACATCCCCTTAAGCCCTAAACCCTAAACCCTAAACCCTTAAGACCTAAGCCCTAAACTCTAAGCCCAGCGGCGGCGTTGTATGACGAGGGGAACTTGCAAGAGGTCCCCTTGACGGCCACCTGAGGGCCAACCTGGTAGGCCTCAGGTTTCAAGTACCATTTAGGGTTTAGGGTTTAGGGTTTAGGGCTGAGGGTTTAGGGTTGAGGGTTTAGGGTTTTGGGTTTTACTGTTACTATGGATCAACGTTTTACTAGTTCTGTTACTTTTGCTGTATTAGTGTGCTCCTATTACTTTTACAATTACTTCATGGCAGTATTATAATTACCGCATACCATATTACCATATTACCACCTTACCATTGTTACGATGAAGCACGAATTCGGGTTTAGGGGTAACTCAGTGAAACATTTTGCACCTCTTGTGCAAAGGTCGAGCAGTGAAGCCGAGAGGATCGAAAGGTTCAACTGAGTCGCGACCTCTTCAATATGCTATCCAGAAAACAAACGCAAGGATCTGCTTCACGACCCGGAAACCTGAAATTAGTTGCGCAAAAGTCCTGTGGACAGAAGCCCCACCAAACCCCAACCTGCCAGAACCCTGAAACCCGTCGCACCCCTGAAGACGAAACCCCGAGCGAAACCATAAAAAAGTTCAGCATTTGGGATGTCACAATCAACGACCCCGTATCCTGCCCCCAAAACCCCCGGCATCCTAGACCCTGCCACCGTGGCAAACTACTTAGTGGTGCTTAGTAGGGTAGGGCATATGGGTATATACTATATAGGATTTATGTAGAGATCATACTCCCTAAGCCCTAAACCCGAAACCCTGTATTGCATTCCCTCGTTCCCTACTCAGCAGCAGTAAGACTAGCCACCTGGTTCGCCATACGCTGCCACTGCGGAGGCAGCTCGGAGAGATCATCTGGTGTCAGGCTTTGCCTGTCTTGAAGCAGGCTTAACACGTGAGCTACATAGGGATATGGGGATATATGGGGATATATAAGGATATTACCCCAATAATGGAGAATCAAATGGAAAAGCAAACAGAAAATGAAATGGAAACTAGGGTTATGTGAGCTATACTTTAAACTCCCCCTTGGTAACCCCTAGAATACTCCCCTACATAATCCTCTATAGAACCCTCCTTAAAGTTGAGACTATTGTGCAGATCACATTCCATGCAGGATTTGGGGGGGTTGTGGGCTTGCTGGGCTTCCCGGAAAAAGTTTCCCGATTTCAGGTTTAGAGCTTAGATTGCTTTCTATTCCTAGGTTCCCCGGTACCACCGGAATAGTTAATTAGGGTAAGAATCCCAGCGAACCCTGAGGGAACCTAGATAATTGGCTTTCGCGCTTCTTGCTAAGGGCCCTTGCAGAGGAACGCCTACCACTGGACAGTCCTCAAATGTCTCCCCTAAACAATCCTCCAATGTCTGTCCTCCAAAGATTATTCGTCTAAATATTTCTCCAACCAAAAATCAGCCCTCCCAGATGGGCCCGCATAAACCTTGAATGTCACTCCACACATCGATGTTTTAACCTTTTACAGTGCCGTAAGTAAAGCCTACCCCGCAAAGGCATGTAGAACAATGGCCCATTAGACTACCTTTAGAGGTTTGGGGTTCTTGTTCTACCTAGTTTTGGGGTCCAGGTAAACCCATCCCTAAACCCTAAGCCCTACACCCTACTAAGCCCTAAACCGTATGTGTATGTATACATACTGTATACGTATATTCCCTTTTTCCCTACAGTACTAACCCCCAATAAGCACACCCCACCTCTTGGCGAGCTCCCATCTCTCCTTGGCCCAATCCATGAGGTCACGGCAAACCTCGGCGGGGAGCTGTGATTTTTTTTTCGGGTCTGGGATGTAGGATTTACGTTTTAGGATTTAGGGCTTAGGATATAGGATCTATGGTTTAGGATTTAAGGTTTGGGGGGTTCCCAAAATTGTGCGTACCTGGGGTCCCTCTAATAAGGATTCTAGTGTTCTTGGGGTCTATATTGGGGTCCACCTATTTAGGCAAACTACCAGTTCAAGGAATTAGGGTCACTTTTCTGGTCACAAAAACGCATTTTGGGGCTCAGGACGTTAAGCTAAATATTGATGCGGATATACGTGTATTGTAGGGGTTATGCATTGGAACATTGCGCGATGCGTTCAATTTAACATGGGCTATACTGAAGCTAAGCATCCGCCTTCAACCCCCAACCGAACCGAGCAAATGCTGCCCCAGAAACACAACTGCTCAACAATTCAGGCCAGGAGGAGCAGCAAGATCAGAAATAACGTGCTAACATCTAGCATTTTAACAGTAGTAATCGATTTGGCAACAGCGCTGAAACTGACATCTGTACGTTCATCAAAGGTGGGCGATTAAAACTGTCTACCAGACTTCTCAGTGGAGAAGCGGGAGTTGTGATCAACGGGACGCCAAATCTCCGACGCCATGTAGCCACAGCATCCTGGCCGATGCGAGATGTGTCGTGGAGAACGGGGAAATTCTGTGTGGACCACCATGGTATACGATCCATTCATGCATTCATACATTCATTTATTCATTCAGTCATAAGTTCGTTCATACATTCCCTACTAACTGCCAACAAGTACCTGGAAGTACCTGTCACATTGCTGACTAGTCTCTACCTAGGCAGTGGTCACCTGATTCAACTTCAAAGGAACTCCCAAACCCACGTCCCCAAACGGCAATTTATTGGAAGAGGTCTTAGGATTATATGTCATGTTTGGACCGGGTTGAGCTAGGCTAGTGTTGCTCTAGTGGTCACTACGCATAAGCTCCCGAGAGTCGCGCGCCTTACCACTCTCTCTGCTTCACATGAAGGGGCCTGCTTGAGCGATTAATGTATGAGTTATCCATGGAGAAGATTTTCAGGAACTTTGAATTTAACAACCTCAGCCTTCGGACCATTAAGGCCCCTAGCGACTTGAGCTACTATAGCGTTAAGAGCTACATTGCACTAACTCGAAGAAGCTCCTCAAGTACCCCAAACCAAGAAGCCTTCAATTTAAAGGGGTCGCCCTACATGGTATTCGATGTCCTTCTGATATGGGGATGTACGTGGGATAGCTTTGCCAAAGGCCCATGAAATTCCAGAGTCATCACTTTCTCCCTCCAGTGAGTCTAGCAGGGAATGGGGAACGGGGTCTTTGGGACTGCCACATGAGGCTGTAAAGGTGCTTCAGTATAGGGATCCATGCCCTAATCTACTAGAAACCATGTCAAAGCCCATTCCAAGCCCACTTCGCCTCTAAGAGGAAACAGCTGACTGCAAGACTCCGAGCGGTGGAGAAGAATCTGAAGGCTTCAGGGTTTAGTGGGCTCGGTGTTTCAGGGCTTTTGAGTTCGGGGCTGAAGAAAGTCGCTGGGGGGTTACTGGTGAGTTGCAAGTTCCTCAGCCGTCTCATTTTTCTACTGGGGATACATGGCATGCGGAGGCGGAGGACTTTCTGACTGCATGAAAACCATCTGAGCTATAGTCTAAACTCCTAGTATCCCTCTTAATAACCCCTATAGTAGTCCCTATATTACCCCCTTCAAGGAGTTTGGATTATGGCCCTTGAATGATTTGACCGGGAGCCTTTAAGGGTCTGCAAGTCTTTTACCTTGTTGGCAACACAAGCGGCTCTTCTTCCCATTCTGCTGCCAAACATGACATCTGGGGGTTCTATGAGGGATGCTAATGATATCTGGAGAATCCCTCACGTTCTGGGAGCTTTTGCTGAGGAGTCTATGGACGATTTTTTCGGAAACCCCTGTATTAAGCGCTGCTGACATTTGGAGCCTTGCCCTCCCAGCGAGATGAAAAAACGTCGTATCGCTTGTCAATACTCATCTTCGAAAACAAGCGATACGCCTTTCCTTCCAGGTTGCATGAAACTCTGACGTCACAACCTGTGCACCTAAAACTGCTGCAAGCTCTGACCACACATGTATACCCTGCCCGTTGCCGGGATGGGACCCGAAAAGGTGCTATAACGACTGCAGTCCTTTTTGAGGGCCACATGGTAGCAATTCGAAGAAACCTAGACGTCAAATCTTTGACGCTTTAGCCTTCAAACGGAACTTCTCAAGAAAAAGCTGCCTGAACAATGTAAGTACTCGCCAAAAGGCAACTATAGTTTTGAGGCCGGAACATGCAATCCCCATTCTATGCTCCCGTAATGCCCCTATACAAACCTAAACATCATCAACACCTACCACAGTAAAGAGCAACCACCGAACTCGCATTCACCCCCAAGCCCCCAAAGCCTAACCCCTGAACTTCAAAACCGTCGCCCGCTCACCTGTGGCTCACGCCGTCTGCGCGGACAATGGCCAAAGTACCAGGGCCAACATCAACCTCCCCAAAAGCAAGCTATAGAAAGTGGGTTGTCAAAATTATGTGCTCAAGTTGCAATGGGTTGAACGCTGCTGTGTAGGCCCATACAAAAAGAAATGTCCAAGAAAACACTCTACTTGGAGATATTGGCCGGACATTCATCGGCAGCGCAAAACGCACATGAGCTATAGTCCAAACTCCTAGTATCCTTCTTGATATTTATCCCTATAGTACTCTCCTATATAATCCCCTTTAAGGAGTTTAGACTCTAGTACACGCAGAGCGGGTTTTCCTCTCTAGCTTTTGACATCCGGGCCAGGTTTGCTGTCACCCGACCTTCCACTAATTGGGCTACTCTCCCCATGGTAGGGCTATGATACTTAGGCATATGGGTGGTTGTCAAAATTATGGTCCCTTTTTGGATCCCTATCATAGTACGTCACCTAATATTTAGGGTACCCAAAAAGGGACCATATTTTTGACAGCCACCCATACGCAAATCACACTGCTCGATTGAAGGAACAGAGCGGGACCTCGGAGCCAGGACTTGTATGCTCTCATTGTTGGAGGGGTGGTGTCCTCCTAACCATCTTGAGTGGCCGTTGCTGGAATCTACCGGCAACATGAACCCTCCCATTGCCTATTCCAAACCTCTGCCCTTCATACTAACTCCCCCTCTCACCTAAAGCTGGCTATTCACACATTGTAGTATACCACAGTGGGAATCTTCATTGGGACTGGGAGGGTGGGTTTTTATCATAAGCCCTAAGCGATGAACCCTACATAGTAGAGCAATTTCCATTTTGCTCGAAAATCCTCGATATACCCCTACATAGCCCCTGATGAAAGAGCGGGATCCTTTTATCACCCATATACCACCTTCAGTTTCGATTTGATTTAGAACAGTTTCCATTTTCTTTTCATTCCCCCTCTTTTCCCATTCTAAGCCCTAGACCCCCAACCCCAGACTCTAACCCCTAAACCCTAAACCCTTTCAATTGTGGGGGATGGTATTACATCAAACTTTCAGCAACTGCGCCTCGTAGGGCTCCAGCCCTTCGGCATCCAGGGGTTGAAACTCCAGGCGCCCGTAGCCAGGGCCGAGAAATAGGATCCTTGGAGTGGTTTAGGGGTTTAGGGGTTTAGGGGTTTAGGGTTTAGGGTGGTTTACTGGGTTCTTGTTGAAATACAATTATACAAACGATCTTTTTTATCGATATTGGGCGCAGGTAGCCATAAAAATGTAAAATGTTGTTCTACAAGAGCCCTGCTTGGGGCTGTAGGGTATGGAGTTTAACAGTTTCCCAAGCCCCTTAAGGATGCAAAAAATTAACGCCCACCCAAACAAAAAGGCTCCATTACTACATTGGGGAACCTAGGGGATGATTAAGGGGTTCCATTTTCTGGATTCTTTAGCTGGTCTGGGCTGGGGATTTAGGATTTGGGTTGTTGGGCTTAGGATCTAGAGGGGTGGGCTTGGGATTCAGAACTTGGTTTGGGCTGATGCATCAGGTGCTTGGCTTGTGAGGGCTTTCTTGATTTTCCTGGGCCTGCCATTTGGGCCCTCCAGATAAAAACATGGGGCGGATGTACGGGATGGCTTGTGGCATTCTGTCGTCGCTACGCACTGAAGCCTTAACTCTGAAACCCCTACCGCTTCTGATCATTGTACTGGGCAGTTTCAGGTGTCCTCGACGGGTCATAAGCGGCTCAACCCACAGGATAGGAACGGCTCTCTTCTGTGAGTAGGAACTGTGTGGTTGTTGAACCAAGACGGAGTTTAGGCTGCTTAGAAAATACGATACCCAAAGGAGGACATCATCTTACTCTACATATTGCAGCCTCCAATCCCTCTATTGAAGATGCAAATTACAGCCTCCGGTCTAGCCCCAAACATAGTAAGCTACTCTCTTGCTCAATCTGGCGCAGTTAACTATGGAAAGGAGAGAATGATTTCTGCTCAACCCACACCCCAATTTCTAAACCCCAACACCCTAATCCCCCCGACCCCCCTCTTTGAAGCTGAGGGTCAGCATTATCCTGCTGTGGCCGAAGACCTCCAGCCACTTCTGGCAGGCTGCGGGGGTCAGCTCAGGCACATCACCTGGGATGTTTGGTTTTGAGTTTCAGGTTTGGGGTTCAGGGTCTAGTGTTTGAAGTCTAGGGCTTATAGAGTTTGGGGTTATTGATTTAAGGCTTAGGGGTCTGTTGCACTCCACTGTTACAGACAATCCGTTCCTGTTACTTCCCATCCTCATCTACGAGGGGTTGGAATAAGATGGGTACTTGTAGGGGCTTCAGCTGATTCTTGCCAGATGTGTCGGATTAATTTAATAATTTTCGCATATATTGGTTGTGGTTGTAGGTGCATCGCACATGCTATCCTCGTGAAAGCACCTACAACCGCACAGTAACCCACATAATTTGCGGGCTTGTGAGTGGCTTGACAGGGAAGGCTCAGTAGTTGTGGGCAATTGAGCTTTTCCGCAACTGAAACTTCCTGGCCCTAATGCCATCAAGTTACAGTCTGCTGGTATCCCTGCCTTGTGCAGGATGAGGGAAGATCGACTGCTGAAGTGGCTCTCGAGCATTGAGTCAACTCTTGTCAACTCGTTGCCCATCTGCGCCTTGAGTTAGGAGTGAGGGTTCAGGGGGTTCGGGACATTAGGGGTCCCTTCTCGAAAGTCCCGAATGAGAAGGAATGAAGTATGTGCCCTCTTTTCGGAAACTGGCGTTTTGGTTCAACAGCGTGCTCGAGTTTGGGATAGAGAGCTTTAGTGTGCCATTGATGGATGACTCTTGCTTTAAGGTTCAGAGAGCTTTGGATGCATGGCATTGCAGAATAGTTTCCAAAACCCAGGGTCCCTCTTTATCTCCACCCAAAATAGTACATTCCCCCATTATAGGACCCTACCGTCCCAAAGGAACACTCATCGTGGGAACCCCTATGTTGAAAGCTCCAGGGTTGACGCGTCTGCGCTCGACTCAATCAGAGGGTACGTGAGTGGACCAAGGCAGACTACTAGCATGTCTTCGCTGGTTGAACCTAGTATAATTCTGTTTTTCTTATAACATACGGTAGTTTCCCAAAATAGGGGGACCCCAATATGGACCCCAAAATACTATAATCCTTATTATGGGGACCCCCAAAATGGTACCCCTAATTTTGGGAAACCCCCATACCATACCTCAGCTGAGGCTTCAGGTCAGGGAGAATTTAGCCTGCGGGCTCGGTGCGCAGGGGCTAAAGCTGTTGTCCTACGGTGGGGCTTTAAATCTCTTAACCCTCACGTGCCCATTTGTACTTCCCACTTTTCCATTCCGCTATATACCTCTTGAGCAGGGGAAAGGGGATTAAGCCCCAAAAAGGTTCGAAACGGGTCCTCCTCAGCACCGCTAGAAGCACTTGCCTCAAACATGATGGCTAGGTCTCTAGATGAAGGGCTCCTTGTTGGGTGTCCACAAGGGTGAAGCACAAGTGCTGAGAGGGACGGTGGGAGCTGAATAGTCAAGGCTCAAGCGAACTAGCTCAGAATTCAGGGGTGGTTGCTTGCGGTAATCAGTTCAAGGGACTAAACCTAGCCTTAAACCCTTAACCCTAACGTTTCTTAAACCCTAAATCCTAAACCCTAAACCTTAAAACCCTAAACCCTACAGCCTAGGGCGGAGAGAAGGTGCAACAGCTCCCACTGCAAACCCAGGCTCCAGAAGCGTATCTGCTGCTTGAAGGCCCGGCTTCCTTTCTCATCCAACACGAGCTATTTCTAAACTTCTTAAACGGGATTATATGGGGGATTATACAGGGGACTACTCTAGGGGCTATTAAGGGGGATACTAAGAGTTTAGACTATAGCTCACATGAAGAGTCAAAACCACTAATTCTCCTCCCCTAAACCCTCCATATGCTAATATCAAGGGTGTAGGATTTAGAATTCAGGGTTTAGGCATTAGGGTGTTCAACCACCCCTAATATTTAATATTTAATGCTCCCAATATATTATAACATACAACATTTTTTGTGTTGGGGGGGGTTGGGTGGGTGGGTGTGGTGGTGGGTAATATTAGGGGAGAGGATTGATTGTTACACATACGGCTATCGGCAAAATTATCTGGATCGCACTGTTGCCTCTGACTATTCGCATCATGCTTGGTGCTGTTGCTGTGCTATCTCGCATGCATGCAGTTGGTCACGGAAAGGTATGCATGTCTGGCGGCATGATCAGGCACCAAACTCTAAACCCTACACCCTAAAAAGGCCGAGGCCTAGGCTGCCAAACCAGTCTCCTGACACATCCTCCAAAGCATGGTCTGCTAAATTTGATGTTTCCTCGCAAGATGTCTAGGAAATAGCCAGCGAAGGAAGCAAGTTCGCCAGATCCTGCACGCACACGATGAAACCTCACGAATTCTGATGCCTTCATCCTTCAACAAAAATGGAGGCTTCTGCTAAGAACAACGGTCGAGTGCTTCAGCGCTTAAGCAGCAGAGCCCACATCAAAGACTGCCAAAGCATCGCAAGCCTCAAAAGCTCGACCCTTCATGATGAATGGCGTCCGTGGTGGGATGTTATGAACACCCCAAACTCCCAAATTACTTACCCGGGGGTTTAGGGGATAAGGGTATCTTACATGGGGATTACATAGGGATTATATTCCCTTACTCCGTACTAACCACCAACAAATTTGCCCTCAGAAAAATGGAGGGATTTTGTTCACGGCGTCTGAGGTTGAGGTACGTGACAAAAGGGGAAAGAGGCTATGAAGACCTTACACCCTAAAACTAAACCCTAAAGCCTATAAATCCTAAGCCGTTAACACTAAACTGAGCATCTCCATCTTTTCGTAGTTGAAGCCGTCGAGGTTCATGATCTCTGCGGATCCCTCCTGACAGCCAATTAGGGGTTTAGGCTTAGGCTTTAGGTTAAGGATTGAAGGTTCTATAATCTCATTTTCCGTTTCATTCGTCATGTTCTTACCCAGTTGAGTCTCCATTATATAGTTATTCCCGAATGGGAATTCATAAGAATGAGAAGAATAGTATCAGCGATCATATAATGACAGCAATGTACAATCAAGTACTGATACCAGTATCCAACGCCACATAATCGTTTATAATATTATAGAATGCAAATAGCGGCAATCATGAGAGCAATAGCAGTAATGATAGCGGTCTAACCCCATAGGACCCAAAGCCCTGAACCCTAAAGACCCCAAACCCTAAACCCCAAACCCTAAACCCTAAACCCTAGGATTGCTAGTCATGGCCTAGGCTAAACCCCTCATCCAACGGAACTAGGCGCATCATGACTAGGTTCCCCAGCAACCCCTGCAGAATTAGGGTACCCTTTTTCCTAATGCTCAGCTTTAATAAGGAGACCCCAAAATGAGAAGGGACAAAGGGTACTACTGGGGTACCTAGATGATACGGTGCATGCTAAACATCCTGCATGACCCTAGGTACTTTGTTCCCCGGGAATTCTGGTACTATAGTATATTGAGGTCGTGCAGGATTTTTAGTATCAACAGTAGTTCCCTAAAACACACAAGAAAAACTCGTTGTCTTCTGTTCCTTCGAGAAGGGAGGCCCCATTTGGAACCTCCCATGTGCGGGCTGCCAGCTTTGCCCAGTCCAGGGCTTAGGGTTGGGTACTGCCCCCACCCAGTAAGGGTTAGGGTTTAGGATTGAGGGTTTAGGGTCTAGGGTTCAGGGTTTAGGGCTTAGGTTGGGTACTGCCCCCACCCCGTAACAGTTTATATTAGGGGTCCTATTAAGGGCTATATATAGCCATATTAGAATTACTATTCAACTGTTACTGAGGGGGGGCAGTACCCAGGGTTTTGGGTTCAGGGTTCCGAAGAAAAGGTCGGCGGTATTTTGGCTGGCCCCACACTATGAGGAGACTTGCTATGAGGACTCTCCCAAACATGGTTAGTTCCGAAAAATTAGGGTCCTATTTGGGTACCCCCAAATATTAGGTGCCGTAATATAATCCATAACCGAAAGGGGCCCATAATTTTGAGAACAACCCACACGACCTTCCCGTTCTTCAACAGGTCTAGTTGGAGGCCTCTGCGCTAGAGTTGTTTGTCCTAACTCCCCTTCGATATGGGGACTTATAAGAAATCTAGTAATCATGTGTGGCTTGGCTTTAGATTGCTGTGGCTTTAAACTACTGTTCGCAAAATGGGTCGAACCTGTGTAGGCGCTGGCGTTATAATAGGAACCCACTACAAGGACCCGTCTTACAATGAACGTCGCGAAACTACCATGCATCGATTTTCCAAGTGTATTTCCGTCGCATAGTCAACCAGAACATCAATCCTGGCCCCTACACCAGGTTCCCCAGTAACCTCCTGGTAACAAGTGTACCCTTTTTCCTAATGTTCAGCTTGAACAAGGAGACCCCAAAACCAAAAGGGAAAAAGAGGACTACTGGGGCACCTAATTACTATTGATACTACAAATCCTGCATGACCTTCGTATACTGTAGTACCATAATTCCCAGGTTTAGGATACTTTGACTCATGTTTAGTATCCACCGTAGTACATCCTCGGACTTCTGATCCACCGGCCCTTCCTCCTCAAGCCCTCCTATCCGATCCAAGACGCTGCTAAGGAACTTCGCTTAAACTTACCATGATGAGGAACATCTAGTATCTAATAGACAGATAGATAGACAGATACATAGATAGATACATAGTCGTTATACATAGACACATATATATAGACACATACACACTTGGTAACTAATTTCAAGTTACTTGACACACACCCCATCCTCTCCAAGAAGGCCGTCTACAATCAGGGAAGGCGGTGGTGTGAAGTCCTTCCCATCGCTGTCCTCCAGCGATGCCCAAGGGACAAGCTGCGTTGCTGTTAAGGAGCTTACAATAAGTTGCTATCATCAGGTTATGTAGGTTATATAGGGTATATAGTAATTACTTTACCTGGGTTGCTGTCAAGGAACTCAAATTAACTCACCAGAATATGGGTATGATGGAAGTAACGGGGCTTCCTTGTTGTAGTGACTCGATTTAAGTTCCTTACTAGCAACTCAGTCAAGGGACAGGGCAAGGCAATGTTGTCACATCTGGAGTTTGTCAAAATTTCTGGGGCTTAGCAGAGAATTCAGGAATATGTTATATGTGGATTATATAGCGATTTTATTCCCTTATTCCCTACTACGAACCAGTAAGCACCATTAACATAGCAAGAGTTTAAGGGACGCCTGTGAATTGGGTGGGCCCCATGTGAACGACTCTGCATGTGTAATTTTGAGAAAGCCCCAGTTGGTGTGGCAGTCGGATGCTCAGACAAAGAAGCGCTGTGCTCTAAACTAGAGTTTACCTGAAGTTTACCTAAACCTCCGAATTTTATACCTATGAAGAATTATATGCCTATATAGAATTGCTCATTGGGGAAGGTTTAGGGAGCCCTGAAAAAGCCAAGCCGCTTTGAGGCAGGGTTGAGGCTGGCTGGTTGTTCCCCTTCCTAGCCGTATGAGCTACAGTCTAAGCTCCTCGTATCCCCCTCAATACCCCCCATATAATATAGGGTTCAGGGTTTAGGGTCTAAATCCTGGTATCCCCCCTTGATAACCCCTATAATACTCCCCTATACAATCCCCGATATAACCCCCCTTGAGGAGTTTAGACTATAGCTTATCTGGGGTTAGGGTTTGGGGTTCCGGGTACTGGCAACACTCTTCATAATCCCAACAGGAATTAGTCCACGGCATCCATCATTGGTTTGTATGCGTGGTCAATACTTGGCATTGAAGGCCGGCGGCCCACCCCAAACCCGAAACCCTAAACCCCCGACCCCCAGAAAGCCCCCGGCGCCCTTGATAAGCCCGTGGGAGTCTGAGGCATTGGGACAGGCAATTAAACATGCTAGTTTTTAGGTTTGGGCGTCGAGGATTTAGGGTTTAGAGTTTATGGTTCAGGGTTATGGGATCTACGTATATTACTTGAGGTTTAGGGCCTTAAAAGGGTTCTGGGAAGAATCTACAAGCTGCACCCTTAGTTCCTCCAAATCCTGCTTAAGGTTCAGGATTAGGACAAGTATGAATAAACTTGGCACGAATATACCAGACTGGTGGGTATACGAACTCAGAAATTCGAAGTCACTTCTGCAGGGGTCCGCTGATATCGATCCTCCCACTTTTTTGTGGAGGAAAGAGCCCTAAGCCCTAAAGTTGTAAGCTTCCATTTTCCTCTTACATTTCCTTATATATACCCCTATAAAAAATTCTATAGCTCCCTACGTCACCCTTTCAAAGTGACCCCTGTCCTGCAAGAGTCTGAGAGAGTCCAGCCGAGCTGAGTTCACAGTTTCCTCATGCGGGCCACCGAGGCCTAGAAGGCCTCAGGCTTTAGGGTTTAGGGGTTTAGGGTTTTGGGGTTTCAGGGTCTCCAGTCTAGAGTTTAGGGATTCAGGGTTCGCTTAGGGGTATTCTATTTACATAGGGTTACAGATGGTAATTATTCTATATATATATATAAGGTAATGTAGGTATATTGTCGAATAATGGAGAATCAGATGGAAAAGAAAAGTGAAAACTGCATGGAAACGGGATCTGTAGTGATTCGGGTTTCCCAACATGGGAGGTTGTAAGGCTTGTATAGGTTACATACGGTTACGTGAGGTCTAGGGGCGCAAGGTTTCCCTGAAGTCTAAGAGCATATAGGGTCTAGGCTGTAGGGTTTAGGGCTGCATGGACAGAACGGAGGCTATAGG